TCGGCTGCATCTGGTCTCATGTCTAGTCTCGGATCAACTCCTCCGGTAAGTCAATAATTCTTTCGTGTGATTAACGTGTATGCTGCATGTCAATGATACACTGCCTCTAGGCGTAAAAAAGAGATGTAAGTACCAATTAAAAAGGAATAACAAATGTATATATAGACATTATATACTTTTTAAACAAACTGTATAGTTTGAAAATTGTTTTTATAACATTATATTTTTAGTGAACAATTTTTATTGAATAAAAAAATAAATAAATCTAAAATAGAAATTATATAAAATATTTTAAATTTAAATCACTTAGAGAAATAAACAATTAAATATGTAATGAAAAAGAATAATGAGCGAGGCACAATATAAGTGCAATTAAAACAAATGTATTGAAATTACAAATATTGTCTAAACATTAAATTATTTTCAGTAGATTAGAAGACTAAAAATATATATAATCATTAGTCAAACTAAAACGGATTGCTCGATAAAATGTATGTCACTCAATTTCGTAGAGACCTACTAATAATTTCTGTGTTTTCTACAGATAGAATTAAATCAAAATTTTTGACCACAGTCAAAATAATAAATCAAAGAGAGAATCCTGAATATAAGAAAATCAAGTATAAGGAAGTTTCTGAAAAACTTTTTTACTTTTCTTTTCCAAATCAAAGTTTTTAAAATAACTATGCTACAATCACCTACCTATTTAAAGGTTAAACTATTTTTTTTGTCTGATTATAAGGACTATCTCTGAAGATAACATTAGTTTACAAAAGAATGCTTTTTTGAATTACTTTGAATTCGAAAAGACGTTTCTTATAGATTTTTAAATGCTGAGAACAATGCTGCAAAATAAATCTTACTTCCACGTTAGATTTCTGAAATAATTGAGATTTAATATACAAAAATGGCTTTTTTGGTAATTTTTTGTAATTTGATATTTGTTTGTAAAAAGGGTTAACGTTATCTTAAAATCCTAATTAAAAGTCATAAATGTATTGTTCATCCCCTCTATAAAATGTATCTTTTTAAATTTTGTACCTTACTTTTTAATCATGTTATAAAGGATTCAAATACAGAGTTTCTAAGATAGTAAATTTTTCTATGAAGTTATTATACTTATAATTTCTAATTGTCGTGATTATTAATACACGGTATAATTTATCTTTATAGATTTCATTAAATGTATATGTACGCATATGCATATGTATATATGTATACACCCTCACATAGGGTGTCTCATTTTAATTGTCCACCTCGAATATCTAAAAAAAAAAACGCATTTCTAAAAGAAACATGCTTCAGACAAAAGTTGTATGACAAAAGTTGTCTGTGTATGTGTATCGATAGTCACAAATTAAAAATTGTATGTGACGTTATCATCATAAACGGAAAATTTGTTACCTTAGAAAAATTCTATATTTAAATCCTTCATAACATGATTGAAAAATGATAGAATATAATAGAAAACATGATAGAATATTGAGATAAAAAGAAAATGCATATTTTATAAAGAATGAACAATATTTCATGACTTTTAATTGGAATTTCAAGACAATGTTAATCTTCTTTATAAAAGAGAATGCCAAATATCATTTTAAAAAATCATTCTCTATTATCTTGGACACCTGACGTGCTGAAATCTGTTGGGTTATGGCATTGTTTTAATTTAGCATTAAAAAATCTATAAGAAACATCTAGTCCAATTAAAGTCATTTTTTACTGTAAACTGATACATTTTTAGTGTAATTTTTTTTTGTACTGTTTTTTATTGACTAAAATTTAAATATTCTCCTGATTAAGTTTATGATTTTCATTTTGTGCATAGAGATGGTGGCAAATGAAGAGATTTTTTTTTAGGCAAAACACTTTTTTCAGGTATGTTTCTTTTTATAGTTTATTTATTTTTTATTATTATAAGTTAAAATTTATTTTTTGTGCAGAACACTTTTTTCAGGTATGTTCCTTTTTATAGTTTATTTATTTTTTATTGTTTTTTTGTTATAAATTAAAATTTATAAAATAATTACAAAAATTTAAATGTTTTTATATAAATACTTTAAATATTCAAAATGACTTATGCAAAATTTCATTGCGATTCACTGTTTAGTTACAAATATTAGAACAAGTGGATATTTTATTTATGGACAACTAATTTCTGCATCACAATGTAACTTTACACAAATCATCTTGAATACTTCAAGTACCTACCTGTATTTTTAAAAAACTGAAATTTTTGTTATTATTTTATAACAATTTCCATACATTTCTATTAGAGCACAGATGAAAAAATATTTATTTTTGTATGTGAAATTACTTTTGATATGGATGATAAACTGTCGCTAAATTTTTCTACATCACCAGTATATAGGAAATAGAAAATAATGATTCATAACGGTCAAAGCTGGATCTTAAATAATTTCATGTGAATTTATATATACTATATAATAATATACATGTGGCAGACGCAGAGTCGACCGACATTAAGATTTTAATCTTGATTTACCATCTCGTTTACTTATCTACATACACACACACACACATTCAAATAACTCGTAAGTACCTACATATATACATATATAGTATATATACCATATTTGTTATCATTTGAATCGCGCGCCGAATTTCTACATCAAACACAAATGTATTCTACAGATGTAATTTCAACAGACATTTCAGCAGACATTAACCTGACATTTTGCCCAATACGACAAAGTCACGACAATCACAAATCCATTTATCTTGAAGACAATTGGCGACTGGACGTATCGAGTTCGCGAGACAGATCGCTGGTCGCGTAAATACAGCAAAAGGATGAGAAAAAGAGAATTGCGCGCGCGCGCGCGTACGAAGAGGATTCAAAAAGGAGAAGGAAGGATGAGGGTGGAAACGCGGAAGGTATGTAACGAGAGAGGAGGATGAGTGTAGGTACGTTGCATTCGCTGTCGTAACAAAGGAGCCCCCGGGTGGCTTCGCAAACAGAAACCGGAGACCGTGGTCTGTGTATGAATTTCCGCAGCTGGCTACGGGAGACAAACAGATAGCTAGTTATTTCTGCATTCAACGGCTGAATGGCCGACGCGTCTGGAACGAGGCACCGGCGCGATACAAGCGACCATTATTGGCGAACATCGGCGGCGAGCGGCACGCTCGAAGAATTCCAGCGTTATCTTCGCCCGGCCGAGTTCGAGCTCTTCCTTTCTCTATGGCGTATTAGCATCGCGAAAATATCTGATCACAAAATCTTGAGGGAGAAAGAATTATTTTAGTTCTCAAATCAAACGATTAGAAGTCATTGTAAAGAAAAATCTTTCTTATTAATACAATCTACAACATGCTAAAGAAAGAGAGTGAAAAAGAGAAAAAAACATACAAGTTTTTTTGCGGGTTATCGCTGTGTGTCTTTACCCATTGCTAACGCCAACGTTTCGTGAACCTTGCTGTTCACTTTATCAGGAGGAGCACACTGACATATTGAAGAAAAGCATTCATCAGAGAAAGGAAGAGAATATCATTACGTTGGTTTTCTGTGTTGAACTAGTACACTTTTGGAAATTAAAGTGACATATCTATGTGGTTGTTATTGGTTGATTGGTTGATATGGTTGATATTGGTCGAAAAATCAAAAAAGAATAGAAGAAAAGAATTAGAGAAAGAGAGTTCTAGTGCAGTCAAGTGCACAAAACAGATCACCTTATTAAGCATTTTTGAACAAATCCGCATAACAACCCTTATTGTTATGTCCCTCAACTGCTTATTGTTAGACAGTAATATAAAAGACAGATTTAAGATAATAAAAATTAAAGTATAAGAATTTTTTAAAACTATATTCATGCATAATGTATGTGTATGTATATGTGTATGAATATGCTCGCATAATGTATGTGTATGCATATATGCAGGGATGGGAAAGTTGCTTTTAAAATTACTTTAAAGTTACTTTTTATTTAGAAATTAAGTACAATAAATTACAAATAATAATACAAAGTTGAAGCAAATGATAAAATATGATATATGAAATAAAATATCTTAATTTATTGTACTTAATTTCTAAATAAAAAGTAACTTAAAGATAACTTTAAAAGTAACTTTCTCATCCCTGCATATATGTATGAATGTTTATGTGCGTGACTAAGATGCACTCATGTCCAAAAATGAGCCAGAAACACAGAAATCAGAATTATATCTTAAAAAGTAAATCTGCACAGAGTCTAAATTTAAACTCTGTTATACTGTCAGCATAAAAAGTAAGACAGCATAGTAAGAGTGAAATAGATAACGGATAGAGAGAGCGAGAGAGAGAGAAATTTTTGTGGAGTGATCAGAACTCTTTCAAGAAAAAACATGCTTTAAATTAAAAACTCTAAACAAAACCACAGTCATCTTTCTTTAACAAACTTAAGAATCAAGATTAAACACAGAGTAGTTGGCCAATTGACCTAACTATCTCAAGTTCGATTTAATAAAAGTCAAATTTTTTTCAGAGTTTACTTTACAGCTAATCATCTAATGAGAAGAAAAGGGAATGTCAGTTAAATTATAATAAACACAATGTTGAAATCAATTCTTATCGCTGATTATGGTAACTATTGTATATATCCAAAAAATAAATTCATAGAAAATTATCTTGCTGATTCAGTAAAGTTTTTAATTGTTTTAACAAATCTTTATTTTTCATGCACCGACAATCTAACAGAATCACGTTTCGAGATTCTCGCGAATGAAGCAAGTTTTTACAAAATGTTGAAGCGGCTGAAATATCGAGGGCTGCGGCACAATAGAGCAATGTGAGGGAGTTGACTTTCTTGCTCTCTGTGCTCTCCCACCGCCCCGAGGCCATTTGGAAAATAAAGTGCGCTCATTCTCCTTGGCTCACGACTTCGACGACACATGGCGCGAAAAGAGAATACCGGTCTTTTGTGACCCAAAACAGAGGCGAATAGTGTACGGTGTCATTGTCCTTTTTAACAGTGACATCGCGTTGGATAATTAAGTCTCTGACAACGACAGCATAGAATGAAAACGGAATGAACTATCACGACGATAACAAAGACGACTATACAGACGAAAAAAACAAATGACATACATGTAGAACTATAAACCTTAGATATGTAGATATCTAAAATTAGACATAGTTACACAATGTACACACTATATTTACACACATACATACAGAGTATATATTAAAAAGCGCTCACTAATCATGTAGCACTATTCCTAATCAAAAACTAAGTCAAAAAGTCCTGAGCCATTTTCTAATTTTCGCAATAGTTAACGTGATATTAATTTCTATAGACTGTTAAATAAGCGGATGAAATTGATACATAAGACAATTTTAAAATATTTTTCAGTGTTTTTGATGGAATATCTCAAAGATATCTTAAAGTTGTCTCATGCGCCGATTTTATACATTCTGCTCATTAGGTAACTAAAAAAAGTTGCGAAAATTGCAAAATAGTAGAGGAATTTTCGACTCAGTTTTTGATCAGGAATAGCGCTATATAATTAGTGGGTACTTTTCAAGATACATCCTGTATTATAATATAACTATTTTTTTAAAACTTTTGTATTTATGTATAATTTCTCCATTTCGAATAAATCGGGAAAACTCAAATAAGCCACATTAAAAAATAATTTAGGTAAATAATTATATGTTCATTTTAATCATTTCATCATTTAACTTATCTATAATCATACATATTGAAAAAAGTTGCTGAATTATTTCAAATTTTTTCATTTGTTTATTCTAAATTAATTCAAGAAATTTCCGAAGCATACAGCCGATTTAAAAAATTGAAGAATTCGCTATTGAATTAATCATTAAAGTTCGATCGAAAATTCTATTTCCATTTAAGTTACGATCAGCTTTGGCTAAAAATCAAAGTTTCGGTTAGGTTTCGGATGAAATTAGAAAGACAGTTTTGGCAACGTAGCCGAAACCGATTAATAAATATTTATTACTTAAAGTTTATTTAATATAAAATATTTTTTCTTGATTTTCCAAATACTTATTTAAAAAATATTTGTATCATATTTTGAAATTGCGTAATTATTGAAATATGATTGTGACATTACGGATAGTGTATAACATATCACAGACTGTGATAAAAGAATTGTATTACTAGGATGATGATATGTGTAATTATTGTTTTAATAATTACATTATGATATTTATGAAGAAGAAGATGTATATACATATACATTATACATATAACTTTTTAAGGATTCGTATATGAAAGTTAGTTTTGGTTTCGACCGAAATTGACACATAATCAAATATTCGTTTTCTATTTCAGCTGAAAAAGAATTTAAAAAATTGTTTCAATCGGGCTCTATTAATCATCTAATAATCATCTAACGTTCAATTAATAAAATATATGTGTCGACTGTGATAATCGGAATCGAAGTCGCGATCAAGCCGACTTTCTATGCGAATATCTCAACGTCGCGCGATGAGAAGGAATTTTTTAATTTCTGGACGCGATTCGCGGATAGCAGCGAGTGAGGCTTTCGAGGCGAGAGAAGCTGAGCTGTAATCAATTGGTCGTAGCGGGCGGGAGAGACAGTCTCAGCATTACTAAGACTGGATGTAAATCATCTGGACAAAGCCGCTTAACGATCCGACAAAGGATCCCGCCACGGTCCTTCCTTCGTCCACGAATTATAGAATCGGGAATATGCGCGTTGCTTCCCGCCTCTCCTTTTTCTTCTTTTACTTTTTTTTTTTTAAGCACCGGTCTCTCGGGCCGGTCCCAGTTCAACTCGGTTCAACTTGCGGCAGCCTGGTCCAAACGTGCTTGGCCCAACGTGACGAAATTTATGGCCATTGGCATCGTTGTCTTCGACGTAGAACAAATCTCCAGCCCGGATCGCGACGCGGATCCACCGATTTCGCGATTTGCGCGCGCCGACCGAATCGAATGCGTTGACTGTCAAATTTGTCGCTTGCTCTTTTTGTTCGTTGCGATGATGCCGCATATTCAACGTTCGTTTTTTCGAAAGTCAACGTATACCAGGTAAAAAATCGGCGAATTAATAGCAAACTAATAACGGAGTTCTTTAAATTTGATTGGAATCTTCGAAAGTTAATCGCATCTTTTTAGAGAATTTTTCTAAACAGATAGATTTCCATTAATTAGATATAGATTCTTACATCTCGAAGCTACGAATCTAAAAATAATATTTAGATTGTCAGACGTTTCCCTATTTTTGTTGTAGATACCGGTGGACTCGATGACCATGAAATATTCTATGGAGCCCGACAAATATCGCGCTGCCTATATGCCGCCCAGCACTCTGGCAATGAGCATGTATCCAGATCCTAAGTACTTGGATTCTTCTAATCCCAAGACTTATCTGGACCGTACTTACTTAGACGCGAAGGCATACTTCGAGCAATCGAAGCTGTACATGGATCAGAAACCCACCATTGGAGAATACAATCGGCCGAACTACGAGCCCAACAAGCTTTATGAGGAATCCAGCCCAAGTAGTGTCGTCGGCGGAAACGGACCCGCAAGATCACCGCCCGCGGAATCGCCAGACACAAGCAAGCAACACGAAAGAACAGAACAAGGTTCGTCCAGCGCGAGTTCGACATCGACATCATCGGCCGCGAGTCCCGGCGCTTTGCCGTATCCGTATCCCGCATCAGTCCAAGCTAGCGGCCTGCTGACTCCGCAGATGGCTCAATACGGTGGATACCAAATGGCACCGGCATCGGGAAATGAATCTTTTCGACGTCCGTTGGTCATCTTGTGACCCGATAGAGCGTAGCTCTGATCTATCTTCGAGGAGCAGTTGCTATGATGGCTACCGCGGACTCGACGGAACGAAATGACGGAAACGTAGACTTTTCCGGATCATCAGTCATGGTTCCGATGATCAGAAAAATGGATGATTCCTATGTGTTTTCAAGAAGGATAATTGCCACATGTCCCTCTTGATTGTGATGATTGTGGATTAACAAGGCACAAAGATTAACATTGCATGTACATGTGATCAAGTCATTGAGGAAAAAGATTTTTTAAATCGTACCGTCAAAAAGTAAAAAATTTTCCAACAATGGCTATTTCCTGATTAGAAGGAAATGATTATCACGGATTTAACGATGTCTACTAGTCATCAATTTCGATATCTTATTATCTGCTAGAATTACTCCTCGAGTTTTTTCTTCCTTTTCGTCTATAGAAGAATTCTCGAAGAATCTGAAGCGGGTCGGACAAAGATTTCATGAATCAATTAAACGGAATTTGAAAAAACAAAAAGAAGAGATCGCCGATACTTTCTAAAACGGACCTAACAATTACAAACTATTTATTAAAAAAAATTATTATAGAAGACATTCTTAATCCAACATCTGCCGTTCAAGACGATCGATCTGAAAGATTTTTATCGACTAAGAAAGATTAAGCATTCTCCTGACGGCAAGATATAATCAATAGTGTCGCTCTAACAGCAGAATTAAACTTGGCCAATGGACTACTTCGAAAAATGGAGATCAATAAAGAATAATCGTTATAGATGACAACGAAGACCGGAAGGACTTTCGCTGTGTGGTCGGTTGACTAGTCTTGACCGAGACGTATTAAGAACTGAGAACGTGTGTACATAGCCCCTGTGTAAATAGTGTAGCAAAAACTTGGCTTCTTCCGGGTTTCCGCGCGTGAATTCGCTTTCTTACGGTCTCTTTCGTCAGGAGCACCAGGGACCTCGTAATCCTTGAAGAGAAAGCAGTACAAATGGAATCATGTGCGTGCGTGGTGTTCAAGAGATCTCATGAGTGAATGTTCGATTTCGTGGGAAGAATTACGTGAAACGTAAGAATAACAATCCTTTTACTTTTTTGTTTTTTTCTTTTTTTTTTCTTTAATATCAAGCGGTTAGAAATTTGTTAATATGAAATTTTATTTAACTTTTATTGCGGTAAGCTGGATAAATATATTGTTATTTTTGTAAAGGTTAACATTTACATTTTTGTAAAAGTTAGTAGATGAATGTTACGATATTTATCGTCGTTAATTATAATCTGCTATTAATTTAGTATGATTTTTCTGTTTGAAAAGCTCAATCAATCGGCTTAATATCAACGTCAAAGCAAGCCCGACGAAAAGAAAGATTATTTTTTAAGTAAATATATATTTCGAAATTTTGAAGTCTGCCATCTCTGAAAAAAGCGTTTTCGCCTAACATTTACAGTTATTATTATGTAAATATCACCACAAGCTTCAATGATCTAAGTGGTTAGACGTATGCGCTATTTAAAGAGATTCAGATCATGCCGTTATGGAGGTTAAATTATGGTTGCAGGCATGATTTAGAGTGATATGTACCTATGTATTTTGCACAAATTGATTACTATTCTTTTATGATGATTATTACCAGTAGATTATTAATTTAATTTGTGATATTACATAATCCAGCTTCATTCATAGCTTCAGAACACACACGGTTAAGACTGTTTTTCAATACTGATAAATAATCAGTGCGCAGTTTGCTTGAACTGGAAATTGTAAGATTCACGCAAAAATATTTTTAACCCTAATCGGTATTGGCTTCGAAATTTCTTTAAACTAATATTCGTGTGTCCAGTGTATTTTAAATTAATATACCTTTACTTAAAGTTATACGTAATTGAACAATTTTTTTTTTAAAGTCAAAATCCAAAAAATAGAGTTATGTAACTTAAAATTTTGTAAGGTTCTAAAAAATATTTGTCATAAACATTTTTTCACAATTAGTTGAAGTAGTTGAAGTATCCAGATCCACTGGATCTACGAATACCGATTAGGGTTAAGGGGATCCTAAAGTAAAGCTTGAAATGCGATGGGATTGATTCAATAGGACTAACACCTGTAGGTACAATTTACGCGACATCGACATCACTACATACTACTATATCAATATCGCACGCACACACACGTCTAAATTTTCGTAAAAAGTTTTTGTATCGAATTAGGTATGTAAGTTGAACTCCACGTTGTTTCTTCATATAGCCTAGTAGTCTGAAACCTCCAATTTTTTTCATAAGTATAGATTGCAGAACTTTTATATCAAGTGTCACAATTTGACAGCTACAGACGTCATATTGAACTAATTGTAAATAATGGTACAGAATAATTCAATTAAAAAAATTTTTTTCGTTATTGCTATAAAAATCTACGCACCAAGTTAGTATTAGTGCGTATACTTTAATGGAAAAGAATTTCCAAGTCTGTAAAAGTAATACGTACAAAAATTCTTTACGAAAATTATTGCGTTTAATTGGTAAAACAGACGACTTTAGGATCTCCTTACGTACCAAGACGCTTTGGTCGAACATGGCCATTTTCACTGTTTTATTATAAAAATCACTTGTTGTATGACAAAGTGGAATAATTATTTTTTAAGAAGCTAACACTAGTTAGTTCATAGCACCGAGAATTACTTTGAACCGGACGAGGTTCAAGGTGTTCCTTATAGATTTTTGAATGCTGAAAACGATGCTGCAAGCCAAAAAATTCTAAAACTCAAGTTTCCAAAATATTTGAGGTATAATATTTAAAAAAAATTTTTCCTGCCAATATTTGACATTTCTGTTGTTAAAAAAGTTAACGTTACCATAAAATTCTGATTACAAGTCATGAACGATCGATATAAAATACATTTTCTTTTATGTTGACAGTTTCAACCCTGTTAAATGCCGAGAGCAATCAAAATTTGTAATTCAATTGCACAATTTTTATATTTTATCTACCTTGATGTATCAACAATCTTAAATTATGGGTAAAGATTGACAATTCATAAATTCATAATTATAAACTCAAAAAAACCAATGCCTACTCACTGACGTCCAAAAATTTTCCATTTAAAAATTTTGCGAAGGCACTGAGAAAAATATGAATCTATTGCTAAGAAAAATGATTACTCAATTTATTTTCTTTCTTTTAAGTAATGATTACCTTCAGCAAAGAATATTTTCTTAATCATAATCTTAAAATCTACTTATTACAAAATTATAGAAAAATTTATTATTATATACTCAAAACAAGAATTTATTTCCTTTTGAAGAATATTATAAAATGAATAGAAAAAACGAAATCTTTTGTTAATTTTAGAGAATATTCATAATAAGCATAAAACAAATCAAATTTGTTTCAATTTATTTTAATAACTTGATTGAAATATTTAACTTACTAGAATTCAGAAATTATCAATTAATAATATAAAGAAAATACGAAGAAATTTGAAAAATTTAACGAATGGAATGCAAAACGTTTAATATACATATTACATTCTCAAAATGAGAGCGATAGATTTGTGGAAATGTCCACTAAGGAGGCCTGACTCTAGTGGCGAGTCGCCACAGATTTAATAAATTAAGTAAATTTAATAAATTAAATAAATTAAGTAATACATGGTAATAGTATTGTTAAGAAATCTGCAAATTTTAATTTGCCAATTAGCTTAATATAGTTCATAAAATGGAGTGGAACTCATTGATTAATGATACGATTATGAATAAGACCCTATGAGACGTTACTTAAGACTGTCTTCTGTCTGTTGGGCAGAAGACGGTCTTAAGTAACGTCTTATAGGGCCGTATTCATAATCGTGGTTCAACTTGAGATCCGATTTGAGCTAAGTTTGAATCAGTCTTTCATTTGAAAAACGCGTCTCAAACCACGATTTAATAAATCCGATCGGTTCAATCTTTACTTCAAACCTAGCTCGCTGAAATGAAGATCGTGGATCGATCTACGACTATGAATACGGACCATAATGGTCTTTGGCTGCAACCTATTTGGACATTTTAAGACATTACTTAAGACTGTCCTGTAAGATCCGATTATTTTAAGACATTACTTAAGACTGTTCTGTAAGATCCGATTATTTTAAGACATTACTTAAGATTGTCCTGTACGATCCGATTACGAATACTGCCCAAGCCTTATTTTTTTATTTGATAAATGTGATGAAACAACACCATGCCTTCTACCATGCTGGAAAATCGTGCGCCTCTCGACAGGTGGGAAAGGTGGGATGAAACTCACTTATAATGGTCTTTGGTTGGCATCCGCGGACATCCAATAGATCAAATCTATCGGAAATATCCGTTTGTTACATTTTGAATGGATAAAGTCTGGAAATTTTTCTCAGTGCGTGCGTTCCTTGACAGGAAGAGAGGTGGGATAGAACTCGCTTCGCGTGGAAAGTCGTACGCCTCTCGGCAGGGGGAGGAAGGGGGGAAAGTGAAGTGAAACTCGCTTCGCGTGGAAATTCGTGCGCCCCTTGATAGGAGGAGAGGTGGGATGGAACTCGCTTCGCGTGGAAAGTCTTTTCCAAACTGCGCGCCGAATTGTTTTTCCGGACTATAAACGCGATTAAAACTACTCTAGTAATCGCGAATTAAATTGACAAGCAATTTAATAATTTAATGCTATCATCAAGCATCATATTATAAAGATGTTAATATGTTGAAACTGTTAATAAATTTATTGCGAAAAATATTACCTCGACCGGGACTTGAACCTGGATCTCTTGTATTCCGTACGAACGTCCTAAGCCATTAGACCACCAAGGCTAGGGAATATATTAATAGGCTAAGATAGGAGGAAAAGTGGGGGATGAAACTCGCTTCGCGTGGAAATTCGTGCGCCTCTTGATAGGAGGAGAGGTGGGATGAAACTCGCTTCGCGTGGAAATTCGTGCGCCCTTTGGTAGGAGGAGAGGTGGGATGAAACTCGCTTCGCGTGGAAAGTCGTGCGTCTCTCGGCAAGGGG